GTTACTCTTTTCCTCCATTACTGTTTTCTGTTACATAGATATTTTGTAGTATATCATGTTAACTTACTTTTTCACTATGTATTTCTTGAATTACTTTATTAGTGATTGCCCTAGAGATAATAACAATCTAGGTTGGATTATAATCAATCTAACTGCAATAGTGTATGAAATAAATGTGCCTTATCCATCTCCATTCTCCGTACTTCACACTGTTACTGACTAAAGTATATCTTTTTATATTGTGTGCCCATCAACAGTGAATTATAATTTTTATTTTTATCAACTATAAAAACCAATTATAATGATAGTTATTGATTTGTATAGTTTCTATCTCTTGATGTTCCAGATATTCTATTTTATTAATACTCTCTATTTTGTGAACCATCATTCTCATGGTTTCTTTAGCATTTTAGACATGGTTTCCATTGGCTCTTTGAAATATTTAAAATAGCTGATTTAAGGTCTTTATCCAATAGAGAGATACTTTCCATTGATCACTTTTTTCCTTCAGTATATGTCATATTTTCATGTTTCTTTATATTTATCACAATTTCTTTTGAAACATGGACATTTAAAACAACATAATATGACAAATCTGAAAGTCTGGTCTCTTCCACATTTTTTGTTGTTGTCTAATTTGTTGTTTTTGTTTATTTTAGTGACTTTTCTAGACCAATTCTGTAGTCTTTATTCTTGTCATGTGTAGCCACTGAAATCTCTGCTTGGTCAGCTTCGTGGTCAATTCATGATTGAAAACAGAGTTCTTTAAATGCCTGGAATCAATAAATCTCCCAGTGTTTGTTGAGGGACTTTGTATGCATGTTGAGGGACACCTTTAACAAAACCAGGCAGTTGATAACTCTTAATCTTAGCTTTCTGCTTTCACAGATGCTCAAAGTCGGTCAGAAATGAGAGCTTAGGGCCTTTTCAGGTCTTTCTAGAGCATGTGTATAGCCGTGTGCAAGTACATGTCCATCTAGATTTGCAGGAAAAATAGGAATATTTCAAAGCTGTGTCCTATGGGATATCCCATTCCCTAGAGTTTGCTTTAATCTTTTTGGTTCAACTATTTAGGCTCCAACTGTTATACACTACCTCAGGCAACTCTAAAATTAAAATGTTTACCTTGCATTTCCTCCATTTCCCAAGTGCTAAGTGATTAATAGGAATGAGTGAGAGCAGAAAGGAACATAAATCCTATTGCATGTTACAGAGTAGCCAACTGACTTAAATGCGTGCTGGGAAGAGACCTTTTGCACTGGACAAGTTATTAATGTGGTGAAGTTCAGACAGCCTTGTAAGTGGGGTCTTAAGGGAAATACCAGACATGTCAAATAATCACAATTATTTGGTAATGATGCTTTGAGAGCTCTAACTCTATTTTGCTTATTGCTGTTGCTTCTGTTTTTCAAAGTTGTTATGAAGCTGGAAGTAGGCAATGGGAATAGGATAAGTTAAAAAACCATAAGGGGTCCCTGGGAGGCTCAGTCAGTTGAGCATCTGACCCTTGATTTCGGCTCAGGTCTTGATCTCAGGGTCGTGAGTTCAAGCCTCATGTTGAACTCTGCTCTGGGTGTGGAGCCTACTTAAAAAAACAAAAACAAGACCCACAAAACTCGCCGTTTTTTTTTTTTTATTGCCTTTATGGTGGGGTAAATTTTGAGAGGTCTTTACATTGGCATTTTTGTTAACATCACCCTCATGTTTATAGTCAAGTTTTATGATCCACTAAAGTGATTCCTCTAGCTCTTCATCACTGAAGCAGGCTTAAATTGACACGGCTACATTCATTTATAAGTTACCAGCAATTTTAAGAGATTGCTATTAAAGGATATCCTTTAAGAGATACAGTTCTAGAAAATATGTGGTTGTGTTGAACTTGTTAGTTTAATGAGAAGGTATGAGGCAAAACTTATGATTTAATGGAAACAATTTAATAAATAGAAATTACCAACTGGAAAAAAGATTATATCAAAGACTATTATTTCCTCCCTGTTATCTGGACTTAGTCATATTTCTGTCATAGATGAGCACACTTTTGCCTTTCCAAAAATTTTGACTTTCCAACCTTTGCTTCAGGCCTTAGACCTTGTCATGATGATCCATTCCTGCAGCCTGATTATTGGGGAAATGCTCTTGAGTACTGATATTATCTCACTGTCAAAATACTCATTTTTTTTTAAGTTCCTTTGAGCCAGTTGGTTGCTCTATAACTATAATATGCAATAGGATTTATGTTCCTTCTGCTCACACTCATTCCTATTAATCACTTAGCACTTGGGAAATGGAGGAAATACAAGGTTGCCTGTCAATAGTTGAAGAAAGTGAGACTGAAAATTTTGCCTTATCTTTCCTGAGGATCAAGGCTGATAGAATTCACTGCCAAAGTTGTTGGATTTAGCCCTCCACACTTGATTCATGGTTTTTGTTGCTTTCATATTTTATATACTTTATTTTCTTTCTTTTTTCTTTTTTTTGATCATCAATCTCAGTTTATGTTGGGATTTTATTTCACCACTTACCCAGAAAATGAGAAAAAAAATATTCTTTGAAAGCCCTTTAATGTAAACACTTAACATTATCAATAAAATCATACTGTTTGTTCTTATTTTGTCATTTTGATAGTTAACACTTCACCATGAGATTATGTGACATATGTTTTAAAGATAGACTATTTGGTGGCTTACATGGATGAAAGCATAAAATGGGAATTTATGAATCATATGAACAAACTGAGATGGATATGATAAAGATTAATATGAAACTTAAAATGGTGACAGTGATGTTTGCGTATATGTGTGTGATGATTGTTAATAGGCTACTTCAGAGGGTAAGAGGGGTGTGTGCAGAAAACCCTGGGTACATTTTGTTTATCAGCTGCTTAAGTCTCTTCTCAATGGTTAGAAGTAGTAGTAGGAAGTGGTGTAAGATGAAGGACGTGTGGGAAAAACTTATGCCACCAAGGATGGGCTTCTTTCTTTTTTACTCATAGACATGATGACTAAACTGCTTTGGAAAACAAGAGTCTTCCATAAGATAGTATTTTTCTCTAAGGAATATCTTTACCAGTGAATTAAATTCTATACTCACACTATAGGGAGCAAGGTAAAATTGAGTGTGCATTTAAAAAAATGCTTCCTATTGCCACTAAATTGGAATTAAAGGTAGAAATCAGATGTTGGTATTGGGTGGATTTTGAACATTGTTCTTGTTTTTGGCCATAGAAAGGCAGTTTATTCCTAGACAAAGGTCAAAAGATCTCAAGCTGTTTCTGAATTTAAAACTTCACTTAAAACATATCTATTATCTATCTATCTATCTATCTATCTATCTATCTATCTATCATCTATCTATCTATCTATCCATCCATCCATCATCTATCTGTCATCTATCATCTATCTATCTATCTAATTTAGAGTGTGAGAGGGAGAGAGAAAACCTCAAGTTGACTCCAAGTTGAGCATGGGACTGGATCTGGATGTGGGGCTTGATCTCAGCCCTGAGATCATGACCTGAGCTGAGATCAAGAGTCAGTTGCTTAACTGAGCCACCCAGGTGCCCCCAAAACTTTACTTTTTATGATAACCTGAAGATTAATCTTCATGTGATTTTTGACAAAATACAGAATAACTTATAGTGTTGTAACATGTACCAAATGATAGTTTGTTAATTTATAAAATATACTGCTTAAATATTTAAATAATCTATTATTTTATTATACATTCTACTCTATTTAATAAAGCCAAATCTAATTTTTAAGTTCAAACTCTTTAAAATAAATATAATTCATTTAAGTAATTTCCTTGATAAATGAAAATTTTTTGCCTATCTCAGGGATGATTTTAACAGTGAGTACCTATAAATAATAATTTAGGGACTGTTGAATACTATTACCATTTGCATTGCTGATAATATTGAAATAATACTTATTTTAAAAACAATATATAGTATATAATAAATATAATAGCTTATTGTATTATTTGATTATTCATTTGCTTAGCTTTTGCTTTGCCTTCTAAAAATGAAGCAAGAGCAAATTAATGATTGTCCACTTGTATTACTGTGATACCAGCTCTTCATCTACATTATGTTTATATAATTATCACAGAGAGTACATTCTGAGAATGGTTTCCTGTTATTGCAGGGATTTCAATTATGGCCTCTGACCATATTTATGGGAATCATTAATGTCATTATTTTCTACTTAATTAGTGTATAATATTGGAATCAGTGTAAGGAAGAAGAGGTTTCTTAGGCTTCATAATTTTACTATTGATTCTCTCAATGATGTGACAATTAAATTTGATTTCCAATCCAACTTTAAACTGATGGAATAACTTGGTAGATAGGTTACCATAATCATCAACAACATTATTTTTTCATTCCTTTTGACAAGTAGCAAAATACTGAATAGAGTAGTAGAGCACAGTGGTTCCCCGATTATACACTATAACCCTGTCAAGGTTTGTAGGAAATTTATGAAAGCCTGGGAAATGTTCCATTCATGTTGCAGCCTTCTAAACAGTAACAGTCCATTAGCATAGTCTGTACTGCAACATGTGGGAGAGCATTAGGGCTCTGCATTGTTTTCCATGATCCCAGGAAAAGCTGGGACTATTAGATCTAATTCTTTCTAGAGTAAACCACAACAATTTCTTTTATTTTGGTGGCCATCACAGTGCAATGTTTTCCCTGGATACTATCTTTGCAGGGCTATAACTTTCTATGTTATAGGGGATAAAGTAGGTCATGGACTGCAGTGTATAATTATATTATAGGGAGTATAATTGCAATGAGCTATCTTGCTGGAGAATATAATGATATAAAGCTATCAGTCAGACCATTTGCAAAAGTGAATGGTGTGGTTAAATGTTTCATTCTTTAAACAAAAATATATTGACCTAATGCGGATATGGGCCTGAATTATTATTTCCTGGTGTACTAAGTAAGTTTACCAAGCATTGCTCTGACTGTACCATGCTGATTTTTTTTGCCAACAGCCCACTTCCTCTCACTGGTTTCCAAAATGGATTCTACATCCACAAACCTAAGAAGTAGAGTTTTTCTTCCAACGAATAACCAACATGCCTGTCAGGTATTTGAAAACATACACCATTTTAAATACCTTTCATATTTGGGAACTTCTGTTTTGTAATTGTTTGAACATTACTTATTTCTCATAGATCACATTTTATTACTTCTCCAGCCATGTGAGTGGCAAATTAATGGCTGGCCTTCAAACTACATGTGATGGTCCCATTCAGAATTTATGGCAAAACACTGCTGCTCTCCAGAGTCAGTGGGAGAGAAATGTCATGAACATCTAGAGCAACCAGAAATTTCAGGTTTGTGTTTCGTTTTCTAATCATATCATTGAAGGAAAAAAAATGAGAAAATATAGGTCTTTAACTGATGTGGAAAACAAAGGCAAAAGACAAATTTTTACATTTCCTTACTTTCTACAGCTCGTTGACAAGTCCTTGAGATGGGCAGAGTGACATTCCTCTAGGGACTTAACTTCTTCCATGTTAATACTTTGCTAAGGGCAAAAGGCAATCTTTTGCCTGGCTCTCGGGACCCTATAAGTCTACCTTTTATCTCTACTTCCCAAGATACATGTTGGCAGTCAAAACCCCAAGCATATGACCCACCGATAAACCTCTGAAAGGTCTTATGACTCAGGTTTTATTAGACGGTAATGAATGATCTTTTTCCAACAATAGCTAGCCCCCCCCCCCCAAGGTCCTGGAAACCTTGCTTCCAAAATTTTTTAGAGACTTAGGCTCTCATTAACCCCCTTCTAACTTGAAAGTATGTAATGGACCACTCCTCATGGTCCCACTACAGCTCTTTCTGCCTATGAGTCCTGTACTGCTTTAATAAAACTCCCTTTATGCACCAAAGACATCTCAGGAATTCTTTTTTGGCTGTCAGCTTTGAACCCTAATGTCTTTTCTACATCATTAATCATTTAAAAATAGGATGGTCACTCTCCCAATTGGCCAAGGAGTAAGGGATTTGCCAGGATTTTCAAGCACTGAAACCAGAGTCTCAGGAAATTGAGATGGCCAGTCTACCTAAAAGACACTTTTAAAAGAAGTTTTTAAATTTATGTATAAAAACTAAAGTTGATATATATTAACATATATTTATATGTCAGTAAAATATAACTTTCTAATTATCCTCTTAATTTCTTAAATCCCCTTCATTTTCTATTTCTCTTACTATTCCAACCTCCTCTTTCTTTTCATTTCTTATTCTTAAGAATTTCTTATCTTCCAGACTTTTCTCACACTTCTGAGAAAACAGGGTTATATTGGGTAATGAGGAAATATACTCTTTGATTTAAATACTAATTCCAAATGCTGTTGAAGTAGAATAATTGTCATATTCATTTCATGGCTAAACTCAAATTATTCAGTACAGCCTTTATTTTCAAAATAATTTTGAGAATGAGAGCCCATAGCCCATAAAGGACAAAATTATTTATGCAGCCTAATAAAACTTATGTATGGTGGAAATTATAATCTAATGATTACTACAGGAGTTCTTGGTAAAGTATTGCATATTTTTATATTTGGGAAAGCGAAAAAAATTTCCCATTAAAAACAGGATCTTAAAGCTTTTTATTCTGAATGAATTTGCTTTTTAAAGCTGGTTTCTAGGCTGATTTAGCCAACTCAACTGAAGCAGGTTTTCTTTATCATCTATTATTTGAATAGTATAATAATCAATTTTATAATTTTGATACAGAATAGAAAATCATCTGCTATGTGATGGATTTAGCACTTGCTTAGCTATAGGGATTGAATTGGATTGAAATTTAACTTGTTATTTTGAATGATAAGAGGAAATATGGGAGAATGAGCAGGATTTCTATTGTAAAATTGAATTGTAAGATATAAGAATGGCACATTTTCTTAATTGATCTATCATAAATTCACTGTAGTTTGAAATTTCAGGCTTTTGTAAACTAAATGGGGATCCAAAGAGGTTCAAAGAAAATCACTTAGTAGAGGGTTAAATGACACTTGGATGATAGGACTTCAGAGGAACTGTATGGTTGGAAACATAATTCTGTCATTTGAAGCTTTGCAGTCTATTGAAGTCAAATATAGTGGTGTGGGATGGGAATGGGGCAAGGTATCTTAAACCATCAGGCATTTAAGTCTTCCAGTGAATGATTGATTGATTTAACAAAGACTCACTTGGGACACTCAGGATATGCCTGGTGGAATTCAGGAAACATTCCTAATGCATGTAAAGAAAAGATTTTTCTCCCAGCTCTATTGAGATATTATTGATATATGTGTAAGTTTAAGGTATATACTGTGATGATTCGATGTATGTACGTTATGGAATGGTTACCACAATAAAGTCAGTTAACATATCGATCACATCACCTAATTACAATTTTTTTCATGCAGTAAAAACATTTAGGATCTTCTCTCTTAGCAACTTGCAAGTATATAATATAGTATCATTAGCTATATTCACCATGCTGCTTATTAGATACCCAGAATTTACTCATTTTATAGCTGGAGTTTTGTACCCTTTGACCAACATTTCCCCATTTCCCCACCATCCAGACCCTGGCAAATAATCACTCTGTTTTTATGAATTTGGATTCTATAGGTTGCACATATAAGTGAATCATAAAATATTTGTCTTTCTCTGACTTATTTCACTTAGCATAATACCTTAAAAGTTTCAGCCATGCTGTCATAAATTATAGGATTTCCTTCCTTTCTTGGCTGAATTATACCCTGGTATGTGTACACCACATTTTCTTTATCCATTCTTCTGTTGATGGACACTTAAGTTGTTTCTATGTCTTGGCTATTGTAAATAATGTTTCAATAAATATGAGAGTGCAGATATCTCTTTGAGATAGTGATTTCATTTCTGTTGATTATATACCCAGAAGTGGGATTGCTGGATCATATGGTAGTTCAATTTTTAGTTTTTTGAACTGCCATGCTGTTTTTCATTATGGCTGCACCAGTTTACATTCCGACCAACAGTTAATAAGGGTTCCTTTACTCCACATCCTTCTAGACACATTATCTCTTGTATTTTTGATAATAGCCATTCTAGGAGGTATGAAATACATCTCATTGTGGTTTTGATTTACATTTCCCTGATGATCAGTAATATTGAGTGTCTTTTCATGTGCCTGCTGGCTATTTGCATGTCTTCTTTGGAATGCTGTCTATCTTTGGAATGATGTTCTCTAACTATTTATTTATGTGGATATTTTGTTTAATTTTTTGCTATTGAGTTGTATGAGTTTCCTATATATTTTGGATATTAACTCCTTATCTGGTAGATGATTTGTAAGGGGAAGATTTTTTATAGGCATATAGAAGATAGCCTATGTGTTCCTGGCTTTGAGGTATGTCTGTGTATGTGTGTGCAGACTGAGAACCTTGAGCATTAGATAATGCATCTAATTTGTTGTGTATATTCACATGTAATTAACTGCTAGAGAAGTTTCTGGTTTATTTCTTTTTTTTAAAGGATTTTATGTATTATTTATTTGAAAGAGAGAGAGGGCACGAGTGGGGGTGAAGGGCAAAGAGAGAGGGAAAAGCAGACTCCCCACTGAGCAAGGAGCCCAATGTAGGGCTCCATCCCAGGACCCCAAGATCATGACTTGAGCTGAAGACAGATGTTCAACCCACTGAGCCACCCAGGCACTGCTAGTTTGTTTCTTAACACTTCTCTTCTTTCTCCCCTATGTCTCTCTGTCTTCTCTCAATAAGAAAGTAAAACAGAATAAAACAAAAGATCAATAAAACAGAGCCAAGAGTGCTTTTGAGGGGATTAAGTCACATTGACTGGAGCTGAAAGCTCCTTCTGTCTGTATGCTCATACAAACTTTCATCGCTGAAATAAGATTTTGTCTGCGTGTAAACATTGTCACCGTTTAACACATTTCTTCCAACTTTGAACCAGAATGGATGGTAAAAGAATCCTAACCTATCTTTGCCAACCTTTGTGCCTTCTCATCTCGGCCTCTAACTTAAGGTCGAAGTCTTTACTGGTGAGTAGCCCAATGTTGGGTAGAGCTGGAACCTACAGAGTCTTGTGTGTTAAACCTTTTAAAACCACCTCCCTGTTTTTTCTAGCCATCCGTTCCCAAATGATACATTGCAGGGGCTGATGATTAAATATGTGTAGCAGCTAAATATAAAACTTAAAACTCCCAAATATATCACCTCCAGGGCCATTCAGCTATAGCTGAGGCAGCGAGGTTATTCATTCGAGTGCTTTAAATTGCAGCAGTGGCTCCAGCAAAAGCAGATGCATGTGCAGTATATTAACTTGTTTGCCAAAATACTTTATTGCTGATACGAAAACAGTGCCTCTACCTTAGAGGCTTTGTACAACTTAGGAAACCCTATGACTCTCTTGGGATTCTTAGGCGACACCAATCTTTAAGATTGCAGGTATGTTTCAGTTCTGTCCTGTCAGCAAGACAGCAGATGTTCACATGCTTTTGTTTAGCTAGGCCACAGAGATGTGCTGTGCTTGTCACACTGCCGGCCATCCTGTTGTAGCTTGGCCCTGAAAAGCTTAAGCAAGAGGCTTATTTGAGGGCATTTTGGAATCACCATCTCCAGACAATATCTGGTGCCTCATCAGTTTAAAAGCCTCTGAGAATTACTCTGTTTTCTGCAATTGCCCCTCCACGCTGCCTTCTGATAGTTTTAAAACCATTCATGCTGCCTTTAGAAATATCCAAATAAGAGATTTTAGTTTCAGCTGGACCCTGGTTTAGCATGGGTTTCCAAGAAAGCCTTTGGATCTGACCGTTGTCAGGTGGGAGGGCTTTGTTACCTTTTTCTGTAAAGTACTGGGTCCATGCCTTAATGAAATCAAAGCCCATTCATTTCTGAGTGCATGCTGCAAGAAATAAGGAATGGTGTTTATGTATCTAGTCAGCAAAGATAACAGCATTTAAGAAAGTTTCTGAAGATGGTTAAGGAGTAATAACATTTAGTATTTACTGAGCACTTATGATATGTGAGGCATTGAATTTAGTCTTTTGTACATATTATTTATTGGCCCTCCATGGATGGCAGTCTTCCGAATCAGAACTATAATTCACCCCCTTGTTCATGTTTGGTTTACAAGCTTCAGAGAGTGAAAGAACCTATTACATACCATCCAGATTAGACCCCAGGATAGTTTGATTTCACATCTCAATCATTTACTCACTGAGCCATGATCATTTTGTTTTGTTTTGTTTTTTTTTATCACATTAAAACATCATAATGATTTATAAAATATAGATGGGGAAAAAATCCAACTTCTGGATTTGGCCAAATGTGTTGCAGG